TTACTATATAATCATATTATAATACAATCATGTATTAGTGTCATCATAAAATATTATTAAAGATATCTAAAGTAGACACTAGTAGGGATCCCTTTAGCAGACGCAGGTAGCAAAATCGCTTTGCAATGGTGAATGAACTCGTATGTCTAAACGCATCGTAGTGTTAATTCAATGTCAAGGGGACTAACTTCCACATGACAGAAAAACTTGAAAGTCCAAACACAACGTCAAGCGTAATGTACGCAAGATGGATGCGAAGATCCAAACTCACATCAAATGGACTTAATATCGTAAGATGGACAATCCTGAAGGACCAAGACACATCTGCTAGATCCAAACTCACATCAAATGGACTTAATAGCGTAAGGTGGACAATCCTGAAGGACCAAGACACAACTGCTAGACCCAAACTCACATCAAATTGACTTAATAGCGTAAGGTGGACAATCCTGAAGGACCAAGACACAACTGCTAGACCCTAGACATGTCATTGTTCATAAACTCTCTAACTAGTTTATTTGGGCAATAAACATCATGAGTATTTAATCATATATCAACTCTATATTTTGAAAAATGTTAATATGTCATAATCCATTTAATAATCAGGATGATTTGTCTGAAGTCTTTCTAACATAATGTATTGTTAGGCTTGATTGATCAACTGAAATATGCCAAGAGGTTGATGAATTAGCTTTTTAAATATTTGGTGGAAGCAATCAAAAAATAAAAAAATTTGCACAAATATTTAGAGTTGTTCGACTTTATCAACCAAAGTCTACATCCACTACCTTCTAATCCATTAGATTTGCTTACCTTTAAGGATAATGTGAAACCTTACAAACACTTCAAAGTTTATACCTCAAAACCTTGAATACACTCCCAAATAGTAATTAAAAATTTAACAAATAAAAGAAAACCTTACGAAGGAAATGTTTTTGCAAACAACAAGCTCTCACCAATATCACACTTGAGCAAATTAACCAATGAAGTTCACTAGCCTGTTACAAGAATATGACAAAATTAAGTACATATATTTTAATGTTAGTATAATCTTTCAATAATCTTTGTTTTTGTTCTTCATTTGAATCTTGGTCCCTTTTATGTCTTTCAATACCCGTCTCGTCGTTTGGAGTTGTTGGTAGTTGATTAGAGCCATTGGAATCATTAATTTTAAGCATTAAATGCTCACTTGTAAATTTGGTATCGATATTGACAAGCGTCGTGTACTATCAAATAAATTATCCTTAATCTAAAAAAGAATAAATAAATAAGCGTAGTAAAGAGAAGAAGGGTAAATCTGCAAGGATTTCAGAAATTCTAATACATAAAGGTTTTTGACTATGATATTTGGGTGAAAAGGGGTAATTAAATGGGGGTTTTGATTGAAAGAGTAAATGAAAGTAAATGTAAAAAATAAATCTAAGAAATTTAATGAAATTAAAACTAAGAAGAAAATTCAATTTGAGTAAAACAACCTCAGGTCTCGCTTTGCCTCAAATCCAATTGATCATCGAATAAGATTTTACTCCGAACTAATGTCGATTACAATCTACAAGGCCCAACCCTTGTAAATTGTTTTTCTCTTTGGTAAACCTATAATCCAAAATCAATCTTTGAATTTCAGTCCTTATTTGGACTAACCACAACTATCATCGCTAGCGCCAATTCAGTTTTAAGTTTTCAAAAACCTAATTCGGACTATGTTGTCTCAATGAGAATCGAATCTGATCTCAATTTCCATTAGAGGATGCCACTATGTGTGTTCCCAGTAAGTTGAACTTGCTACTAGTTGATTCTTCATCCCAACTTTAAATTAGAACAACATCTAATCTAACGTGCACTTTTTGAAATGAAAGTGTTTTGATTTTTAAAGGAAATGTAGATTGCCAATCCAAGTTTGTAGAAAATTGAGAATTCAACCCAAAGGTATTAGGTTCTTTTCAATTCTCACGGTCGCAATTGAGTAATTGCTTAAGCCTTTAGCTTATTGAAAAATTATCTAAGCATGATAGAAATCATACTCAACATTTTTAAAGAAAATAAATTAAAATAAAACTTAAAGCATAAAATGAAAGAGAAGAAGAAAACTTTATAAAAGTAAAAAGCAAAGAACAAAGCTAAATCAAAATATCTTTCAAGCTTACCCTGAGAGGGTATTTATGACTTTCTAAAACACTAAAAATAAAGTAAAAATATCAAAATATAAATCTAAAAATATTCAAATAAAATCCTAAAAACAAGTGATAATTCCTAAATTCGAATTTAAATTAAAGTTGAGCCATCCGTCCTTCTAGAATGTTGATGGGATCGCCTTCTGGAAGTTGCTGACTGGATGCCACGTAAGACGCTTCATGCCCCCAAGTTATGCCCACTAATCCAGCCTTGACTCCAACAAAACTACAAAACTTTGCTTCTTCAGAGTTGTTTTTGGAAATTAAAGTTTTGTATATAAGACGAATAAAAATGCCCAAACCAGCAATACTACTCAATCAACAAGGAGTGATTAAAGACAAAATAATAGCAAAATAAATCACTTATCAAATTCCCCTCACTTATTCAATGTTTGCCTTCAAGTATTCCTCAATCAACACATCAAAATAACAAGTTACCATACTTCATCTCACAATACATCCAAAACAACCAAACAAATCAAAATCATACAATTATTGAAATCAAGAAACAATCAAGAAAAGGGTTAACTAGAAACAAGTTTAAGCAAAACATGGTATCCCAATACTATTAATTTCAATGTAGCTAGACTCAATACCTCACAAGGGTTTACTCATTATCGCTCAAAGTGTTTCGAGTAAAATCGCTCAAGCCGGAACTAATCAAGTCATTACCATAAACTTATAATTAAATCAAGTCTCCACTACTAAAAATGAACTAAATGCATTAATCAACGGGTATTTAAAAAGGGTTGTAACGGGGCTTAGGTTCGGGAAGGAAAAGGCTAAAATTTTATTTAAGTATCAAGAAAAGAGATAAATTCATTCCATGATTAAACAAAGGAAACAAATGCAAAGAAATGTAACAAAAATCAAACAACCAACCTTTTTTTCTTTTTCTTTTTTACAATCTTTTCTATTTTTTCTGTTTTTTTCTACTATATAACCATAGACAAGGTGGTACGTTAGCAAAGTTTTAATATAAAAGGGTTCAGAATTGACCTATCGGGTTGCTCGGGAACTATCAAGTGAATGGAGTACGACGGAACAACATCCGACATTGATTGAGAGTGGGTGACCGACGACATTCAGTAGAAAGTCAGAGAGGTCATTGATGATGGACGGTTCTGTCGCGGTCCTGAAGGGCTGACAGAATCTTGCTGCTGAGGGGAGTGACCAATAGAAGATGACGCGACAAAAGAGGAGTTTGGGGTGACATGAATCTGTTATGGCTCTTACGATGGTAGAATGGGTGCTTGCTATCGATGCCCACCGTAGCGTGGAGAAGTCGGGGGAGACATGGAATCAGAGTCGCTCGACACTTGGAAAAATCCAGTGTTGCAAATCGGCAGTGACCGCCAAGAGTGATCGGTGGTTGGGAAGGTGTATTGTTTTAGTTCCTCATTCTTACCATGGTTGCACGGAGAGAAGAGCGGTGGTGGTTGAACGATCGATGAAGGAAGTAACCAGGGTGGTGCAAGGAACCGAAGGAGGTGAGCGACATGGGTGGGAGGTATCATCGTCAATGAAACAAAGAAGAAAGAAAAAGAATGTTGAGTGTGGCCGAAAAAAAGTAAGAAAGGTAAAAGGGTTTTTTAATTTGAGTATCACATGGGTAAATAAAAGAAAATAGAAAAGAGTTTGACCCTTACTCAAATACTTGGCCGATTGGAGTAAGGTAGAGTGTTTCAAAATTTGAAACAAGGAAATATAAGAGGTATGTGGGGACCACAAGATAGAAAGAGGGAGTTGATGGGGTAAGTGTGGCCGCCAGTCAAAAGGATAAGTAATTTGTGTTGGGTTATGGGTGAAATAAGGGTGAATGGGTGACAAATGAAACAAATTGGGAAAAAGGGTTATACTATCCTGCACTGGCCTTGTATAGGAGAGGCTAACGTATACCGTTTAATAAAACAGTGCATGGGACAATCCACTAAGGGAAAGGGAAATTCGCCACTTGGACTATCGCAATGCGAACTTCGACTTACTAAGTTATTTTCTCTTGAAAAATTACTTGTTTCCACGCGACAATCCACTAAGGGAAAGGGAAATTCGCCACTTTTCAGACAAAAATTTACCTCCGACTTTATTTAAACTCCATTAAGAATACTGGGGTATCCAAAAAAAACTAAAAATTAAAAGTAAAATAAGTAAATTCTAAATGAAAATAAAGAATAAAAATTAAGATTCGAAAATAAATTAAAGAAATGGAATTGAAAATGGATTACCTTCCATTAAGTACTTTATTTAACATCTAGCTTGACGACCTGATTCAGACTACATATTCTTCTAAGACAAGTTCTTCAATTACAAAAGTTTGAGCATTTAATAACTTTTATTTGTATGATGTCTGATTAAACCCTAAAGTATCCTCCTATCGCCATTTTGGTCCCATGCAGGAAGCGTCTCCGCCGGTCACTAACGTGACCAAGGTGGTGGAAGGGGAAGATAAAACGGAAAGAATATATAAAAGAATCCGACCAATGGAAGGTGATGGTGTTTTAGAAGAGGAGGTGCCAAAAAGATCATGGAAAGATGCAGTGATAAGCCCTACCTTTCTTCCAGAAATTTCCAATTCTCGACGGAAGTTGAAGATGAGGATTCAGACGATGAAGCAACTCATGAAGGGGATGACATTCCGATAATCAGGATTCCTCAAGAATTAAAAGAAAATTGAGGAAACCATGGAGAAAGGCACTCATTATCAAGATTTTGGGTAAAACAGTGGCATATAAAATCCTAATCAGTAGGACAACAAATCTGTGGAAATTGGAAGGTGAGTTTGATTGCATTGATCTTGGATATGGGTTTTATGCAATTAAATTTAAAAATATGCTGGAAAGAGCTAAGGTTCTCATGGAAGGTCCTTGGAAGATCATGGATCACTACATCACGGTGCAGAGATGGCGTCCCAATTTTGTGGCAGCGAAAGCGAGTATTCCTTCTACGGCAGTTTGGATTCACATCCCTGGGCTTCCTATCGAGTACTTCAAGGAAAGTATCTTGTGTAATATGGGTAAGCTTGTTGACAAACCACTTAAGATTGACTACCATACAGCTTGGTCAACAAGAGGACGATTTGCTAGAATATACGTAGAAATTGACCTAGACTCTCCCCTGTTGTCTAAAGTTCGTATAGAAAATAGGGTATACAATATTGAATATGAGGGTTTGCACTCTATTTGCTTCAAGTGTGGTGTTGTGGGTCACAGAGTTTCCGATTTTTTTGTTAATCAGAAAGAAGTCCAAGGAATAGAGAGGCCAACATGGAACCACAAGTGTCATAACATGAAGGTAGGCAGGAAGTTGAGGAACATGAGAAAATTCAACAAGAAGAGAAAGAATTAGCTAAGGACAGATATGGTCCCTGGATGCTAGTTCAAAGGAGAACACATGGTATTAGAAGTAATCAGAGAAATCAAAGTAGCAGAATAATTGAGCCACGACAAATAACAGATTTTATGGGTTGAATATTATGGATGAGGATGAGATATGTAAGGGAAAGGATGAACATAGCCGTAAACAAGAGGTAAATGAAACTTCAAATAAGTTTGAAATGTCATCAAAGGACATGAAGTCTAACCGGAGCGAAGAAGGTAACAACAGAGCAAAAGATAATATCCCGGCAGACAGCTCATACGATGGGTTCTCTAGGAAAACTAAAGGTAATTTTCAATCTCCCGAGCTCTTTGTTAAGAGAGACAACCAGGGTAGTAATAACAGGGGTAAGAATTGTTGGGAAAATAGTCAAAGTTTTGCTATGGAACAAATAGTAGAGGCTGGAAAAAGATTGGATAATCAGGCGAATCCATCAATGGAGGTTGAAAATGTTACTAGTAGATCAGAAAATCTGGAGGATAGGGAAATGGAAATCGAATCAATTGGACCAGAAGAAGTAGTTATTACAAATGAGAAGATGGTCGTTGAGGCTAATATAATTTATAATCCCCCCAATGAAGTTTATTTCTTGGAATTGTCGTGAGTAGGTAAAAATATTTCATCAGGCATTGTAGAGAGTTGATTCGGGATGAAAACCCAACCATTATTAGTCTCCTTGAAACAAAAGCTAAGAAAGGTACTGGCCCTGTGTTACAGAAAAAAATTGAATTTCGATAACCACTATGAGGTCCCCTCTCAAGGTTTTTGGGGAGGTTTGATCTTACTCTGGAATTCTAACTCGCAAAAGGTTTCCATTAGGTACCAAACAGATCAGGTTATTCATTGTGAAATTCAAGAGAACGATAAAAGATGGTTGCTCTCCACTATTTATATCCAACCTCATTCAACCAAAAAGGACGAAGCATGGGATAATATTTACGATTATTCTACAAGTGTTGATATGCCTTGGATGATTGTGGGTGATTTTAATGATTTTGCTTCACTTGATGAACGTGTTGGCAGCAGCTTCGATTGCATGTACCGTATCATCAAGTTTCACGAACGCTGGAATAGGTGCAATCTAATGGATGTTGGCTATGTTGGTAGTAAGTTTACATGGACTAGACACTCCCAGGAAAGAGTCACTCTTCAGGAAAGGCTCGACAGGTTACTGCACAATATTGAGTTGGTTGATTATTTTCCTAATTTAAGAGTGGTTACCTTAACTAGAACGTATTCTGACCATAACCCAATTCTGGTTAACATGGATTTGGAACTGCCAGTCGATAAAGAGAAACGACCATTTAGATTCGAAGCAGCTTGGATGATGCATGATGATTTTAACAGGATTATTAGTTTAGCATGGGATAAAAAGAAAAAATCTCTTGTGGATGCGGTGGAAGAGACTAAGAGAGCGCTAATAGAATAGAAGGAGAGTACTTTTGGGAACATATTCAAACGTAAGAAAATTCTGATGAAACAACTTCAAGGCATCCAGAGATCCACAAATTATTTTCATTCGAATTACCTTCAGGAATTGGAGAAGACCCTGGAAGCTGACTATCAACAAGTGTTGGAGCAGGAGGAAATCTTTTGGCTTTAGAAATCAAGACTGGACTGGATTGTGAAAGGCGAAAGGAACACAAAGTTCTTTCATCTAACTACGATGATAAGGCGCAAATTTAATAAAATAGTTGGTCTGTACATTGAGAATGTTTGGGTTACGGGAAAACAAGACCTTTGTCAACATGTTTACAATTATTACAAGGAGTTGTTTGCTGGGAAAGAATACATACAATTGTCTAGAGATTACGATAGCTTCATACCAAGATTGAAGGAAGAAGAAAAATCGAGCTAACGAAGCAAGTCACTATGGAGGAAGTGAAAGAAGCTTTGTTTTCCATAAAAGGTCTTAAAGCCCCGGGTCCGGACAGCATTCAACCAATCTTTTATAAACAAAATTGGGAGACTGTTAGAAATACACTTCTTGATTTTGTGAATAAGACCTTGGAATCTAGGAAAATAGGGGAAAATATTAAGAACGTTCCCAGTGCTTATACCGAAAATTGCTGCAGCATATAATATCACTCAATTTCGGCCAATCAGCTTACTGAACACATCATACAAAATCTTCTCCAAAATCATTGCCCGTCGGTTGTGTCCTATGCTGCAAAGGTTGATAGGTCCTTATCAGAACAGTTTTCTTAAAGGTAGAAGTACCTCGGATAATATTTTGATCGTCCAGGAAGCAGTTCACTCGATGATGAATCTCAAAGGAAGGAAGGGTGCAGTGATTGCTAAAATAGACCTTCAGAAAGCCTTTGATAATGTTAGCTGGGAATTTCTTAAGAAAACCCTCCAAGACTTTATTTTTCCTGAGAGTTTGGTTGAGACTATAATGTTCTGCATTACTTCTTGTACAATTGTACCGTTGTGGAATAGGGAAATCACCGAGAGTTTGAATCCAAAGCAAGGTCTACGTCAAGGAGATCCGCTATCGCCGTACTTGTTCATATTAGTTATGGAAAGACTTTCCCACATTATCATGGAGAAAGAAGAAAGGGGTACATAGAAACCGTTTAAGAGCTCGAGGGGTAGAATTAAATTAAGCCACTTATTCTTTGCGGACGATCTCTTACTATTTGCAGAAGCATATTCAAATCAAATGCAAAACATGAGAAGTTGCCTAAATGAATTTAGCCGTGCAGCTGGAGTTGAAGTAAATCTTCTGAAATCAAAATTATTTATCTCCCCAAATATTAACTCCAACACAGCTTATTACTTAAGTAATTTGTGTGGCATCCCTCTTACGGATAACTTGGGAACTTACTTGGGAGTTCCTATCATCCAAAAAAGGGTTAATTCAGGAACTTACGGTCCTCTCATTGAGAAAATCATTAAAAGACTGGCAGGCTGGAAAGGAAGAGTTCTATCCATGGCGGGTAGAAGAACACTTATTCAATCCGTCTCTAGTGCTGTGTCATTACACACGATGCAGACATCTGTTCTTCCTATTTCGGTCTGTAAAAAGTCAGATAGCCTAAATTGTAACTTTTTGTGGGGAGGAGACACAGTGTATGCTCATAATCATCTGGTTAGCTGGGATAAAGTTTGTCGATCAAAAAAGATGGGAGGATTAGGAATTCATAAAACAAGATTAATGAACATCGCTCTTATGACAAAGAACAGTTGGAAACTCCTCACTAGACAAGAAAATCTCTGGTGTAAAGTGTTTACCGAGAAGTATCTTAAAAATAAGGAATTCTTGGAGGTAGACTCAAGTGGAAACAGCTCTTCCACTTAGAGGGGCTTGCTACGAACTCGGAACTTAATTAAACAAGGGAGAAAATGACAGATTAAATCAGGTATTCAAGCAAAATTCTGGCAGGACTGGTGGTTAGGAAAAGAACCACTGAAAAATTCATATCCTTTAATGGACAATCCAAGCAGAAATGAAGAGGTGGCCAGATATATTGATGAAGATAGAACTTGGAATATCCGAGAAATCCACATCAAATCTCTGAAGAAACAAAGAGGGAAATCCAAAGAGTTTTGATTCCAGTCCTAACCGATCTGCATGAATGAGATGAAATTACTTAGGGCTTCTCCAAGGATGGGCAGTTTACGGTGAGTTCAGCTTACCACTCAATTTCTAATATAGAGATGGGTGGTCAACATGGGGAAAAGCTTGAGTGGGTATGGAAAACTAAAACCACCGAACGAATCAGGTTCTTTATTTGGTTGTCATACCTCGACAAACTTAACACAAATGAAGTTAGGTGCAGGAAGAACATGACACAGTATGCGGACTGCAAAAGTTGTCGAAATGTAACAGAATCAATCGATCATATTTTCCGAAGGTGTAACACTACTAAATTTGTTTGGGAAGAATTAAATGCTACAGAACAGGATAGCCGATTCACTTCGATGGATTTCAAGAATTGGCTGAAATCAAACTGTGTTTCTAAGAAAGTCGAGCTCGATGGATTAGAATGGGGACCTTTGTTTGGGGACTGTGGAAGAGCAGGAATGAAATGATCTTTAAAGAAACATCAATGGATCCCTATCAAGTGATTATCTATGCCAAACGGCTTGCAATGGATGTAGATAAAGCCCTGTTAAACTAACATAGCAGGATGTTTAATGATCCTTGTTGGGTTAAATGGAAAAAACCTCTGAAAGGGGTTGGATTCTAAATATTGATGGTGTGTATAAAATAAATTCTGGTCTAGCGGTTGTAGGTGGTCTGATCTAAGATAGCAATGGGGACTGTAAAGCGGGATTCATGCTGATATTAGGGAGGGTTAATAGTTCGCTCGCTGAAATTTGGGGGGCTCGACAGGGTCTCTTGTTAGCGAAAAGTCTAGGGCTTAGGAACCTAATCCTAGAGATGGATGCAAAATGGATTGTGGACCTCTTTAATGTAGACAAAATGGTTGACGCCTCTGAAACTGATCTGGTAAATGATTGTTTAGACATCCTTAAGGAATGATGGGTGGTTGAAGTTCGGCACATCTGGCGTGAAGGAAACAAATGCGCCGATAAACTTGTGAATCTCGCACTTCTACAAGGAGATGATTCCTCTATTCTAAAGTTGCCTCCACCTGAAATTCAGGCGTTGTTGGGAGCGGATAAGAACGAGGAGCGCCAGTTGAGACACTAGTTTACTGCTTTGTTCAAGTGTACCAAAAAAAAAGTTTGAGCTTTCTCATAATACAATTTCAACTGTTAACCATTAACTTTAAAGCAAATTCCCAAATCATCTTTGACTTCGATTGTGCCATGAGGGAACTCTTGAGTTACCGTAAAAAGTTTAAGTCATTTCGATCTAAGTTTTCATACAAAGAGTTTAAACTTGGAATTAAAAATTAATACTTTTTCATAAGAACTTCAATTATCCATTTGACGAAGTGTGTTCCTCTATTGCTTATTATTGCTTGGGGTGTGCCAAACCTGTAAAAGATAAAATT